TCCCAGGATTGAGTTCCACATCAGGCTCCCTGCATGGACCCTGCTTCTCTCTCTGCCTGTGTCTCTGCTTCTCTCTCTCTCTCTCTCTCTGCCTCTCATGAGTAAATAAATAAAATCTTAAAAAAAAAAAAGCAGAGACCCGAAGAGATACCTGTACACCCATATTCACAGCAGTTCTATTCATAATGGCCAAAAGGTAGAAGCAACCAAGTGTCCAAGAGCGGATGAATGAATAAACAAAATGTGGTGTATTCATACAGTGGTTTATTATCATCCTTAAACAGGAAGGAGATTTTGACATATACCACAATGTGGATAAACCTTGAGAACACCATGCTAACAACTGAAATAAGCCTGTCACAAAAAGACAAAGACTGGCTCCCTGCAGGGAGCTTGCTTCTCCCTCTGCTTGTGTCTCTGCCTCTCTCTGTGTCTCATGAATAAATAAATCTTAAAAAAAAAAAGAGACAAAGACAGTATGATTCTACTCATATGAGGTCCCTAAAGCAGTCATATTCATAGAGAAAGGAAGTAGAATGGTGGGGGCAGGGGCTGGGGGAGAAGAAATGGGGAATTAGTGTTTAGTGGGGACAGCATTTTAGTTATACAAGATGAAAAGAGTTCTGGGGCGGCCCGGGTGGTTCAGCGGTTTAGCGCTGCCTTCAGCCCAGGGCCTGATCCTGGAGACCTGGGATCGAGTCCCACGTCAGGCTCCCTGCATGGAGCCTGCTTCTCCCTCTGCCTGTGTCTCTGCCTCTCTCTCTCTCTCTCTGGTCTCTCATGAATAAATAAAAATAAAAAATAAAAAAACAAACCAAAACAAAACACTAGGGCACCTGGGTGGCTCAGTCAGTTAAGCATCTGATGCTTGAGTTCAACTCAGGTCATAATCTCAGGGTTGTGAGATTGAGTCTGGCATCAGGCTCTGCGCTGAGCATGGAGGCTGCTTAAGCTTCTCTCTCTCCTTTTGTCCCATGCCCCCCAAAAAACACCACCACCATCAAAACCCTAGTGGCATTTCTTGAAAGCAAAAGTTTCTGTATTGTATTTATTTTTGAGCACAGGTATACTCGCCTTTTCAAAAGTTTGCATTATACCACTTGCTTTTACAAAATACTGACACATTTGTACCTGTTTTCCCCAAATGAAAGAAATCTGAAGAGATTTTTGCTTTAAGGAAAAAGGGTGAAAAGCAAAGATAACCTTCAGCGTTTTTTCTGCAGCAAGCCAAGTGCCTTCTCTGAGAACTGCACTCAGCATCCCAGCATCAAGCCACCAGAGCATTGAACTGTGGCTGCGAGCATCTGTGTTTTATTTTGACTTATTTTGTGCATCCACGAATGGGATGTGTCCTCAGGTACCAGAGAAGCCTGAGAGAGCTTATTCTTGGGGGTATCTGGAATGCTCAAAATGTTTTCTTTCTTTTTTTTTTTTAAGATTTTATTTATTTATTCATGAGAGAGACAGAAAGAGAGGCAAAGACACAGGCAGAGGGAGAAGGAGGCTCCATGCAGGGAACCTGATGTGGGACTGGATCCTGGGACTCCAGGATCACGCCCTGAGCCAAAGGCAGACACTCCACCGCTGAGCCAACCAGGCGTCCCTCTTTTTCTTTTCTTTCTTTCTTTCTTTTTCTTTCTTTCTTTCTTTCCTTCCTTCCTTCCTTCCTTCCTTCCTTCCTTCCTTCCCTCCTTCCCTCCCTCCCTCCCTCCCTCCTTCCTTCCTTCCTTCCTTCCTTCCTTCCTTCCTTCCTTCCTTCCTTCCTTCCTTCCTTTTTTATGATAAAATGAACATAATGTAAAACTTATCACTTAAACCACTTTAAAGTGTATAATTCATTGGCATTATATACATTTACCATGTTGTGCAACCATCACCTTTATGTCGTTCTGGAACATTTTCATCACCCTAAAGCAAACCCCACCCCCATGAGCAGTCTCCCTGCCCCCTCCTCCAGCCCCTGGCAACCATTCTATCTCTATGGACTTCCCTATTCTGGAGATCTCATATAGGTGGATAGGTGGAATCCTACACTCTGTGGCCTTTTGTAGCTGGCTTCCTTTACTAGGCATGATGTTTTCAAGGTTCATCCATGCATGTATCAGAACTCCCTTTTTATGGCTGGGTAATAATCCATTGCCTGGGTAGACCAATTTTCTTTCCCCATTCATCCATTGATGGACGTTTGTTCGTACTGACCTTTTGGCAATTGTATGGTGTTGTCATGAACATTCACGTCCAAGCATTTGTTTGAAGACCTATTTGCAATTATTTTGGGTCTATACCTAGGAGTGGAATTGCTGGTCCTCTGGTAACTATGTTTAACTTCTTGAGGAACTGCCAAGCTTTTCCAGGTGGCAGCAGTACTTTATTGCACTTGGCTGGCTTTCCAAGTCACCATCTTGCTTTTTTTTTTTTTTTTTTTTTTTTAAGACTTATTGATTTAGGGCAGCCCCGGTGGCACAGAGGTTTAGCGCCGCCTGCAGCCCAGGGCGTGATCCTGGAGACCCTGGATGGAGTCCCACGTCCGGCTCCCTGCATGGAGCCTGCTTCTCCCTCTGCCTGTGTCTCTGCCTCTCTCTCTGCGTCTCTATGAATAAAAAAATAAAATCTTTTAAAAAAAAGATATATTGATTTATTTGAGAAAGAGACAGGGTGAACACACGCCTGTGAGCAGAGGGAGGGGCAGAGGGAGAGAGAATCCTCAAGCAGACTCCCCACTGAATTTGGAGCCCTAAATGGGGCTCGATCCCAGGCCCATGAGATCATTACCTGAGCCAAAATCAAGAGTGGCTGCTTAATTGACTGAGTCACCCAGGCACCCCCTAATCTTACTTTTTTTTTTTAAGTGCTCTCTGTTTCTCCCTGCCCTTTCATCTATCCCACTACTGTTGCAAAGCAAATCCTTGAGCACAGACCTTGCAAGCGTCAGCCAGGATATTTTGGAGGCTGTTTGTTCTCCCTAAGGACAGGCCTATGTACTCCTGCTCCAAATCCCTGTCTCTCCCATATGTGACCCTGGGACAAGTGACTGAGCTGCTCTGGGCCTCAGTTTCCATACTTGAAAAGTGGGATAAGAACAATCTTCCCTCAAAAGGGTTTTGTGAGGTTAAGAAAGAAAACTCCAGTGACATGCTCAGATGGGGCCCAAGTGTGGCTTGGGCTACCAGTGTATCTGAGCGTTTCTCCTGTCCAGTCTCAGCAGTAGTGTGTGATTCAGTTTCTCCCCATCAGCACCAACTCTGGATATTTTTTTTAAGATTTTATTTATTCATGAGAGACAGAGAGAGAGAGAGAGAGAGAGAGAGAGAGAGAGAGAGAGAGGCAGAGACACAGGCAGAGGGAGAAGCAGGCTCCATGTAGGGAGCCTGCTGTGGGACTCGATCCCAGGTCTCCAGGGCCCTGGGCTGAAGGCGGCACTAAACCGCTGAGCCACCTGGGCTGCCCACCAACTCTGGATGTTATATATGTTTCCTCCCTCTTGTACAATAGGGTGAAGGAAAATGATGTAGCTTCTCTCCCTCCACAACGCTGGCTTCTAGCAATGCGGGCAGATACTTATTACATGTTGGAGTTATGAAACGTGATCCTTGGTGAGATTTTTGTCCATTCTCTTCTCCCACTTGGCTTGGATTTCGCCCCCACAGCTGGTTTAGGCCGGCTCTCAGATTTTCTGAATTCTACCTGAAGCTGCCAGAGACCAAAATAGCCACTGAGTATGTGACCTCTGGTCTGTGCTTGTAAACCAGGGCTCCAGGCCAGTCCAATGAACTCTGCCCTGGGTATTCTGAGGCCAGGGTCAGAGGCAGATGGTTCTTGAGTCATCAGTACTCTAGCTAATCTCAGACCAAGGTTGCTTGGAATGATATGTCAGAGACCCAAGTCCAAGGTCTAGTCCTGTTTTTCTGATGATGTGGTCAGAAACTCAGCTTTATTTTTCTGGCTGTTTTTGGAGAAATTCAACATTAGTGGGTGACCTACTGTATGTCAGGCACATATTGGGTACACAGACACTGCTATAATGGAGACTCATCCTTGTCCTAGAAGTCCTAATCCCTATGTCAGAAGAAATGGGAAACAAACCAGAAAAGCAGTGTCTATAATCAAGTGTGATCACTGCTACACAGAGGATGAAGCAAGGTAAGGAGATGGACCTGCTCACAGAGAGTGAGGGGTGGGACGGAGGATCTCAGCCAGGGAGGGTAAGTAGAACCCCTAGGAAGAGGCGACGTTCAGCTGACTCCTGAAGAAAGAGAAGCAGCTAGGTTTGTGGATAAGGAACAGCAAGTGCAAAGGCCCTGGGGTGGGACTCTGCTAAGCTGTTGAAGGACTGTTGGGGCTAGAAGTGGATTGAGTGTTGCGGAGATGGAGAGAGGGGAGGCCGAGGTCTGTGGAGCCACATCAGCCTCCTTTGGAACATGAGAGCCTGCAGAGGACCTTGGGCACCACTTTACTGTGCTGCTGGGTTTTCACTTTATCCCGTTCTCCTCTCAACCTCCCGGCCCACACGCATGCCTCTTCTCTGACTCCAGGAGGCTCTAGTCCAGCGGCCTAACGAACCAAGACTCCTCAGGTTCTTCCTCCACAAAACGGAGTGAATGACGCGGTCTCACAGGGAGGTGGCGGGGGAGGGAGCCAAGAACTCCCAGGGGCGGGCAGCCCGCGGGCGCTCAGAGACACGCGGAGTAAACAACCTGCTCGCCGCAGCGCCTGACTCAGTGAGTTCAAGCGGCCACAGCGTACAGAACGAGCTGTACCCATCTTCCAGGTGGGGAAACCGAGCTTGGCAGAGGCGCGGAGCCGGGGGCTCCGGACTCAGGGGCGGGGCCGGGGCGCGCACGCTGCGTCTGGGGCCCGGGGGCGCGCACGCCGAGCGGCCCTGCTGGGGGCGGGGCCGGGGCGGGGCCGGGGCGGGGCCGGGGCGGGGCCGGGGCGGCGCGGGGCCGGGCGGCGGCGGCTGCGGCCGACTCGCCAGTCGGGCCAGGAGCGCGTCAGAGGCGCAGCCCGATCCCGCCATGGAGCAGCCCAGGAAGGCGGTGGTGGTGACGGGTACGCTGAAGGCAGGCGCGCTGACAGTGGCCGCGGGCAGGGGCGGGTTGGGCGGCTCCAGAGCCGGCGGGGTTAGCAGGGGCGGGGTGGTGCGGGAGGGGCAGATGCTAGAAGTCGTCCCAGGTTTGGAAGATGTCATCTCCCAGCTCAGTCCGCGCAACACGTAGGAAGTGCAGAAGGGGGGGCCCCTTGCGGTCCTACCGTCAGGGGCCGCGGCAGGCTGGGGTGTGGGGGTCCGGTCAAGTGCCCCGCGCGGAGCGGGCCCCTCTGGCGTCCTTCCTTCCCCCGGGTGAGCGCAGTGGTCCTCTGGGCACCTGTCTGTTCCGTCTGACCGGCCAGGGACTGGACTGGACTTCTCCTTCCTGCCCCTCCCGAGGTCGGGCCTGTCCCCACCCACTGCCCCAGGGGACAAAGCCGATTTGCGGGCAGGAAGTGCCCCAGTGACAAATGAACCTTCTGCCAGCCACTGCTCCCCCAGCCCTGTGCTAATGGGGGGCTGTTCTCCCGAGGCAAGAGCAAGAGGAGGTCGGGGAACCCTGGGTGGCCGGCCGCTCTCCCTGTCGTCCGTCCCCAGGACCGTGTGGGTCAAAATCGTTTCTCCCCGGGTTGTTTATGGGTGAGCCCGTCCCCACTGTCACCAACTCCCTGAAACTAACTGTTCTTCCTTGAGAAGACTCCGCCTCAGGGCCACGTGGGCGTCAACTTCCGCCCGGCCTCTGGTTGGGGGTCATTTTGACCCACTGTCTGGACGGGTCAGAGTGGGAGATCCAGCTAAGATTCACACAAGTGTTTTGTGGCCCCGGGAGGGTGAGGCTGATCCAGGAAGATGGAGGAAGGCACTCACAGGTGTGTGTAACTGGGGGAGGGTTGCTCCCCCCACCTCTACCCCCTGTATCTGGTATTTGTTCTTCTAGTACTGGACTGTGCAGGCAGCCACTGGACTGGGCATTTTCTTGCACGGATTCATTACCTGTACCATCTCTGTTTTGCAGAGGGGAAGCTGAGGCTTACAGAGGTCACCCTGTTTGGAGGTGGCCGAGCTGGGACTCATACTTAGTCTATGCAAGAGAGGAGAGAGGGGAGCAGCCCTGGTGGCGCAGCGGTTTGGTGCCGCTTGCAGCCTGGGGTGTGATCCTGGAGACCCGGGATCAAGTCCCACATCCGGCTCCCTGCATGGAGCCTGCTTCCCCCTCTCCCTGTGTCTCTGCCTCTCTCTCTCTCTCTCTCTGTGTGTCTATGAATAAATAAATAAAATCTTAAAAAAAAAGAGAGAGAGGAGAGAGGGTGGAGGGGTCCTGCCTCCTCTAAGAGGGTGGGGAGGCTGCTGTTCCAGGACACAGCATCCCTCCCAGGGCCATGACACCATATGGGACCCTCAGTCCAGCTGGAGTGGCCCATACTTCCAGGGCAGCCTCTCTTGCCAGATGTTCATTTCTAGGCCGGGTGACAGGGTGTTTAGAATAGAAGAGCTGTGGACTCCCATGGGTCTAGTTTCAAATCCCAGCTCTTCTGGCTACTTGCTATGTGACCCTGGGCAACTGTTTTCACCTGTCTGTGCCCTGAGTGCCACTCTTATAAAAGGGGCCCAGGAAACAGCCTTGCCTGGAAGGGGGTTCAGTGAGGCCAAATGCCACAGTGCATGCAGAACACTTAGCACATCCTCAGGCCACTCTCTTGGTTTGTTAAGTGGAGCCTGGAGTTTGAACAAGAGGGGTGGAAGGTGGCCGGATGGTGTCTGGACAGCCTGGCCTGAGAGACACCCACGTGTATCCCATAAGGGCCATTCTTCACTTTGTGGTGATTCACAGGGCACAGAAGCCCTATACCAAGACAGTGATAAAATAATTATAAATGGGGCTCAGGGATAGTGAGAAAATTGAGAAGGGAAAAGGCCAGCCCTTTCTGGGGCAAAGGTAGGCCACTGGCTCATTGCTGGGCACGAGGGTCAGGTGAAGGTGGAGACAAGAAAGGACAGTTAAGTGATGCCTGAGTGGCCCAGTGGTTGAGCATCTGCCTTTGGCTCAGGGCGGGAACCCAGGGTCCTGGGATCGAGTCCTGCATCGGGCTCTCCTCATGGAGCCTGCTTCTCCCTCTGCCTGTGTCTCTGCCCCCCTCTCTCTCTCTCTCTCTGTGTGTGTGTCTCTCATGATCATGAATACATAAATAAAATCTTTTTAAAAAATCTCAAAAAGTCGCCTTCAGAAACCCCTTCTCCAATATCCTTTTTCATTCAGAATCAGTCTTAAGTGTTCTTTCTTTAAATAGCCAGGCTCCAGGATGCCTGGGTGGCTGAGCATCTGCCTTTGGCTCAGGGCGTGATCCCAGCATCTGCGATCCAGTCCCATGTCAGGCTCCCTACATGGAGCCTGCTTCTCCCTCTGCCTATGTCTCTACCTCCTTTCTCTGTCTCTCATGAATAAATTTAAAAATCTTTAAAATAAAGGAGGGGGGAGAAAGGACAGTTAAAAGCAGTTAAGAGCAGGGCGGTGGGGGGGGGTGCTCTGAAGGGCCCTGGGTGCACCCCAGAATGCAGGATCAGGCCCCTGACATTGTCCCAGATGGTGGCTCTTCCCAAAGTTCCCTGTTCTGTTCTGCCAGGTAGAGGCAGCGGCCTGATCCTGGGCAGGCTAGAGAAGGTCACTGGGTGGTGATATGCTGCTTTTACTGTTGTTGTTGTTTTTTTTTTCAGGGTTTGGCCCTTTTGGGGAACATACCGTGAATGCCAGCTGGATTGCAGTCCAGGTAACTCAGATCTGAAGGGTAGGAATCAGGCTCAGGGCTGGGGTCCCCCTGGAAATATATGGCACCAAAGAGAGGAAGGAATTTATGAAGAGAACGTCTCCCTTGAAGCTTCCTGTAAAACGTTTAAGTCTGATATACACATTTTTCCAAATGGTAACCACTATAACTTACACTCGGCTTGCTCTGCACCAAGCATTCTGAACTCCCCCCATAACCTTTGTGTGGTTGTGTGTGCTTATTCTTGTGCCCAATTTACTGATTAGGCAACTGAGGCCCGGAGAGAGTTATCTGAGGTCACATAGCCAGGATACTGGAGTGGCACTGACTTAAAAGTGCCTCATGCCCCAGCCACGTTTAAAGGTGACTAGGCAGGGATGTTGAGAGGTGTATTAACCTTGTAGAGAGGATATAATGACCCTCACTTTTACTTCCAAGCAGCTGGGGGAGGAGAAGGCTGCATATTGTGTGTAGGGGGGTGTCTTTTCCACTGTCCTGAGCAGGTTGTCAGCCTGTAGGCCTTTCACTTTCTTTGTCAGATGGGGCATTTGGGAGAGACAGACGGGAACAATGGGGAGAGAGAAAGAGAGAAACGTTTTCTCCTTATATAAATCAGATCTGCAGAGACTGGAGCCAAACTCATGTTAATCCTAGCCCATTAGCTGCTTGATTTAAAGCATCCCCTGCTTTTCACTCCAGAGCCCTGAATTTGGAGAAAAATCCAAGTTGAAACCTTAGTGTGTCAACCCCTAGTTTGGGGGCCCCTCACCTTTTATATCATGCCTAGTATAGACCTCAAAATCTTGGCTACTTCCCTTTAAAAAAAAATTCACCCCACTTTGTGAGCGGGACAGAAGGACGGGGTCCCCAGGACCCTGCAGATGGGAGCGTGTCCGAGGCTCTGCTCGTTGCACCCGCTCCCTGGAGCCCCAGACAAAAAGGAAACAGCGTGTTTCTGAAGACGTTGTGTGTCTGGCTTTGTGCGAGTTTCAGACAGGAGCCTTCACGGGGCTGAGTGGACACAAAGCCGTGTGTCTGAATTCCTGGGCCCCAGACACTATGATCTGCATCTAAATAGGAGAAAAATCAATTAAACAATCTTTGGAAATCCCTCTGAGCTTTGGGACGTGGATGGTGGAGGATGGCAGCTTTTCATCCTGCTGCCAGAGGGGAAATGCCCCTTATGTTTTGGTCACCCATCTTGCCAGACCTCGCCTCTGGAAGACTTTCAAATTTTCTTCCTCAAGCTTATGAAACAAGAAGAGAGGATTCTCTACCATGCCACCGATAAAAAGACGCCAACCTTCCCAGATGTGACTGTTTCCCTTTTTTTTTTTTTTTGACTGTTTCCCTTTAAAACAAAAACAAAAAGCTGGAGTTGCACATACACACTCTGAGTGAGTGCATCAGTGTAGCCCCACAAAAATTTATGCCTGTGCACCTCCACGTCACCTGTGTCTGGATCAAGATCTAGAACACTCCCAGCCCCTTTCTCATCACAGAAGCTCTTTGTGGCCCCTCATAGCTATTTTCCCTCAGGTGTGAATCTCTCTGCTGACCCCCCCCCCACCACCCTTGGGTGTGGCCTGTTCTAGAACTTGTCGTCAGTGGAGTTACACTTGGGTCTGGTGCCTTCCGGCAGCACAGTGTCTGCAGGATCCACCTGTGGGGTGGCTGGGAGCTGCCCCTCGTGTGTTTTAGTTGTCCTGGATAAAACAGATTTGTGCAGGTAAAGGTGTCCCAAGAAAATATGGCTCGGAGTGTTCTTGGTGTGACCCAGACATGAGTTGTGGGTGGCAGTTCGTGTTGGTCACTTCAGGCTGAAGATGGGAGTTTTGCAACCCATAGTGGGCCACAGTTAACTTCCTGTCCCCACGGATTTTTCTGAAGCCCAAGCTGTCATCCGTAGAAGGAACTCCTCCTGCCTCAGGGATCAGCTAACTTCTCTTGTCTCCCCCCTTCTCTATCTGCCTCTCGAGAGGTCTCTCTCAGCCTGCCTTTGGTCTCTCCCTCTCTCCCCTTATGTCTCCATGTCTTTCTCCATCTGTCACTCTCCCCTTGTGTGTCTCTTTCTCAGTTACATTAGGCCTTTCTGTGGGTCTCTCTCCCATCAGGTCTCCACTTCTTTCTCTGTCTCTGTCACTCTCCTCTCCCCTGTTCCCCCCATCTCCTCTGTCCCTCTCTCTCATATGACTCTACTTCTTCCCACCTTGGATGAACTTGTGCTCTAGTGGAAGAGTGAACCATTTCCTACCAGCCACACTGGGGAGGTGGGAGTGCTGAGGACAGAGGCATACCCCTCCCCACTCCCAGGTCTGATCATTCCCCAGCATGGTCCTGCCCCTAAGCACCTCCCACAGGCTGCATTTTTGGAGCATCTTGTTTCCCCCAGGTCTAAGGTGGTGGACGTGGGACACTGGCTGCAGGTCTCTCTCTTCCTAGGAGGCTCAGGTGGGTGTCAAGGGCCGGGACCCCCTTGGCTTGGGGCCGTCTGGAGTGTTCTCTGCCCAAGCGCAGCGAGGAGGAGCTGGGTCACAGGTCCTGGTGACATCACGGGACAATTACTGCCACAGTGAGTCTAGACAGACCTGCTAAGGATATTAACCAGGGAACAAAGGGGGTCTTTGTTGAGGGGTCAAGGGAATCGGTCAGATGCGGCCTCTCGGCGGGGTCTTGTCAGGTAGACTGGGGTGTAGACAATGCGCCGTCTGGGGTCTGGGGCGCGTGAGCCCTGTTCTTTTCACGGTGTGTGCTTGGCGGCTGTGGTCGCTGCAGTGTTGGGGGACTTGGTTTGCTGCCACTCCACTCCTCCCCTGGGAGAATGGGCCAGCTCTGTTGGAACAGAAAGTGTTCAGAGGCAAGAATTTAGCTAGATGACAAGCCACCCACTTCTAATAACTTTGGATGAACCATATAGCTTGTTCCTTCCCCTTCACTGCCTTCTCTAAAATTGGGGAATAATTTACATAAAGTGGCACGTACAGATCTTCAGTACCCCTACCACTTCAGGGAACAGTATTTATACCGATGTCACCGATGCTTCAATTAAGATAGTGAACCTTTCCATCAACCTAGAATGTTCCCTCCCATTTGGCTCCCCCTCCCCCAGCATTCCCCACACTGCCCTGGATGCAGTTGCTATCCTGGCCTCAGTCATCTTACATGACTTTTGACTGGTCTCAAGTTGCAAATGAACAGGGTGGCACAGCCTCTGTGTCCCCTGTGTGCCAGCTGCTTTTGCTTGGCCTGAGTTGGTGGTGGAAGTGGCACTTGGCTCTCTTCCCTACTCACCCCCTCCTCCCACTGACATTGGCATTAGGGGGCTTTGGAGTTTGCTCCTTAATAATGAAACAACAGGGATGCTCCTCTCAAGGTCTTTGGCACTCATGTGGATGCCTCACTGTGGGGATGCTGTGGGCCAGTGGTAGGGTAGGTTGGGGGTGGTGGTGGGGGTGGTATATTTTCGGTGACAGTTTTCTTATTTTAGATTTTTTTCCCCCAGGTGGTGGGGGCAGGGTAGGTGAGGACCCAGAGGATATGAGAAACAAAGGTTAGGACAAGAAGGTGATTCACAGGGCACCTGGCTGGCCTAGTCAATAGGGCTTGCAACTCTTAATCTCAGAGTTGTGAGTTTGAGCCCTGCATTAGATGTGGAGTTTACTCAAAAAAAAAAAAAAAAAAAAAGTTGAAAAAAGAAAGTGACTCACTATGTGGCTTTCTAGTGATGTCAGCTCATTTCCTACTACTGAGAACTGCTGTGGGCGTGTGGCCATCCCAGTAATGCTCAAGAAACATCACCCAGTGGAGATAACCCTTGAGTTGCTCTAGGCGAGTGAGGCTGCTCAGCACGTAGTGACCATTCTGCCGGGCAGAGAGGATCCATGGGAGAGTTTGTGGTCTCAAGCCAGGCATCCAGCCTTGGCACATCCCATGTCATAGTGACCACCAGGGGGATTATGGCGGGGGGGGGGGGTTACTGTGCCCAGAGAAGGTTTCTTGGGTTGGCCACTAATCGAGTTAGCATACTTTTTCCCCCTGCCCACGGAAATGGTTCACCAAGTACACGTGCCCCGTGGACAACAGGCTCAACTGGGGGACAACTCCCCAGCTGGAACCAAACAAGTAAAGATGATCCTTTAAGTCCCCAGTTTAAGCCTGGGAGATGGATTCTTTTAATTCCTGGCCTTTCAACATATTTTCTCTTGTCAGAAAGGACTGCCAGGGCCACAGAAAATAAAAGTGGGGAATTCAAGGAGTGAGGGAGGAGGGTAAGAAAGAGGGGGGTCCTGGTGAGAGGATATAAAGATAGACAAGATTATTTACCTCGTGCTGAGGTAAAGCTTTGGCTGGAGACATCTCCCAGCCCTGGAGGGAGAATAAGCAACTGTCTTTATTCTCATTGCAATTAAATAAAAATTTTGACATGTTATAAGCATAGGGAAGAGAAGTCCTTTCCTACCTAGATTTCCCCAGATTTTTTAAGACTTTATTTATTCATGAGAGACAGAGAGAGAGAGAGAGAGAGGCAGGCCCTAAACCACTGAGCCACCCAGGGAGCCTCTCCCAGATGTTAACTTTGTATTACATTTGCTCTTTCTCTAAGGATAAATTAGGTAGCTAAAATAAATAAATAAATGAATGAATGGATGAATGAATGAATGAATGAATGAATAAATAAATAATAAGGTAGCTAGATACGTATTATGCAAAAAAATGACTTGTAAATCATTTTATTTTATTGTGGTAAAATATACATATAACATAAAATTTGCCATCTTAATCGTTTTCAAGTGTACAGTTCGGCAGCATTTTGTACATTCACATTACCATGTGACCATCACCACCATCCCTCTCCAGAACTTTTCCATCTTCCCCAACTGAAACTAGGTCCCCATTATTTTTTTTTAAGATTTTATTTATTTATTCATGAGAATACACAGAAAGGAGAGAGAGAGAGAGAGGTAGAGATACAGGCAGAGGGAGACGCAGGCTCCATGCAGGGAGCCCAACGTGGGAATCGATCCTGGGTCTCCAGGATCACGCCCCGGGCTGAAGGCAGCGCTAAATCGCTGAGCCACCCCGGCTGCCCTAGGTCCCCATTAAACACTAACTCCCTATCACCCTCCCTCAGCTCTAGCCCCTCCATTCTGTTTTCTGTCTGTAATGAGTTTGCCAACTCGATGGGCCTCATAGAAGTGGAACTCTATGGTATTTGTCCTATTGTGACTGCTGATTTCATTTTTTAAAAAACATTTCATTTATTTCTTCATGAGAGACACACAGAGAGAGGCAGAGACACAGGCAAAGGGAGAAGCAGGCTCCCTGCAGGAATTCTGATGCAAGACTTGATCCCAGGACACTGGGATCATGCCCTGAGCCAAAGGCAGATGCTTAACCACTGAGCTACCCAGGTACCCCATGACTGGCTGATTTTACTTAGCATAGTATCCTCACAGTTCATATATGTTGTAGCCTGGGATAGAATTTCTTTCCTTTTTAAGACTGAATAATATTCCATCCTATGGATACACCACATTTTCCTCATCCATTTGTCCACTGATAGACACCTGAGTGACTTCCGTACATTAGCTATAGTGTCTAACACTGCTGCAAACACTAGTGTACAAATATTTCTTTAAGAGTCTGCTTTATGGGGATCCCTGGGTGGCGCAGCGGTTTGGCGCCTGCCTTTGGCCCAGGGCGCGATCCTGGAGACCCGGGATCGAATCCCACGTCGGGCTCCTGGTGCATGGAGCCTGCTTCTCCCTCTGCCTGTGTCTCTGCCTCTCTCTCTCTCTCTGTGACTATCATAAATAAATAAAAATTTAAAAAAAAAAAAAAAGTCTGCTTTATTTATTTATTTATTTATTTTATTTTTTTATTTATGATAGAGAGAGAGAGAGAGAGAGAGAGAGAGGCAGAGACACAGGCAGAGGGAGAAGCAGGCTCCATGCACCGGGAGCCCGACGTGGGATTCGATCCCGGGTCTCCAGGATTGCGCCCTGGGCCAAAGGCAGGCGCCAAACTGCTGCACCACCCAGGGATCCCAAGAGCCTGCTTTAAATTTTTGTGAATATACATCCAGAAATGGAATTGCTGGATCATATTATAATTCCATTGTTCAGTTTTTTTTTTTTTGAGGAATTGCCCTGTTCTGAGTTATTTATTTATTTATTTATTTATTTATTTATTTATTTATTTATGTATTTATGTATTTATGTATTTATGTATTTATATTTATTTAAGGAATCTCTACACCCAACGTGGGGCTCGAACTCACCACCCTGAGATCAAGAGCCACATGCTCCACCCACTGAGCCAGCCAGGCACCCCTGTTCTGGGTCACTTAAAAGTCGATTGCAGACATGTTACCCCTTTTGGTCCCTAAATAATTCATTGTGTATTTCCTAAAACACAGCCTCAGCACAATGATTAAAATCAGACTCATTAAAAAAAAATCAGACTCATTTAACATAGATACAATTCTAAAATCTACAGCCCTTATTCAGATTTTGCCAATCACCTTATTAATGTCCTTCCTAGCAAAAGAAAATGCTAGCATATGTTGTGTTCAGTTGTTTCATCTCTTTAATCCCCTGTTATCTGGAAAGTTCCTCAGTCTTTCTTTGTGTCAAACATCATGACCTTTGCTGGGGATCACTCACTTCTTTGTAGAGTGTCCTTCAGGGTGGTTGGTTTGATGTTTCTTCATGATTGCAGTGAGGGTGTTGGTTTTGGCAGAAATCCCATAGAAGTGATGTTGTGTCCTTCTTGGTGCATTGTATCAGGAGGCACAAGATTTTGATTGACCTTGGTGACTTGCTAAAGATGAGATCTAGTGGGCTTCTCTCCTACAACATTACTCTCTTACCCTTTGTAATTAAAAAGTATCCTATAGTGCCATACTTTGTATCAGATAAATACTTCTTTAGACTTCCACCCCCTTCTTTTAGCATCCCCTGGTGAGTCTTGCCTGAATCAGTTACATTTTAGTTGATGGTTACCAAATGGTGGGTTTCTAATTTCATCGTTCCTTTGACACTTTTTATGGCCTTCTACTTTTAGGAGTCTATTTGTATCCGCGTGGACTCATGGATACTTACTGTCCTCAATATATGACAGTTGCTTACTCTCTCTGTTTTGATGTTCAAATTATCCCAGACTTGGCTTATGGCAGCCCCTTCAGGCTGGCTCCTGTGTCCCTTTTCCATGTCCCCATCGTCCTCTGAGCACATCTTTCTTTTTTGGTTCCAGCCTCACTATTTTTAAGTAAATGCTATTTCAGAATCATTTTAGAAATTAATTTATGAATTTAGAAAGCTTACAAAGAGAATATGGAGATTTTATGTATGCCTCACTGGATTTCCCCTAGTGTTAACATCTTAAGTAACTACTACATCTCTCAAAATGAAGAACCAGACACTGAGCCATTACTATAACTAAACTCGAGGCTTTATTCAGGTTTCATGGATTATCTCACTAATGTCCTTTTTCTGTTCCACGATCCCATCCAGGGCCTTTCACTGCATTTATTGGGGCATCCCTTTCTTTTTTCTTTTCTGATTTCTGCTT